TTAGTTAGATAGTTACGTTTAGTCTCCGTAGTCTGTTGCCAAGCTGTCTATGAAATAATAACTGAATGTCCGGATACTACCCTATCATAGCTGCTACACGTCGAAGTTGATTGCATTGAAAATTGTAATTCACTGTACCTAAACTATTCAGGGAGACGCCCAGCTCTTGAAGGACATTGTGTGTCTGGGCCAACCTTGATGGCTTACCCATGACGTTTCTTGAGACCGCTATTACCACAGTGGAGTTTTGATCTTAATGCTTTTCGCTGCGGTTTATAATCTACTTATCTGGAATAATACTGTGAATATCCCAATAAATCAGATCAAATACCCTGACTATATGCAAGCAGCAACAACAGGCAGCAACCATTGCGCATAAAAATAACACACTTCGTTTCCCCTGCAGTAACTACTTTACAACCCTTGCCTTTATTATCCACGACCAGGGAGAACCCTCTATTGTGAACAATTCGTTCAAACTTACATGACTTCCAGTTACTTAATAGTATATCCCGCGCAAATGGTGTTACTCGTATAAGCAACGGTTTAAACGACTGCATTCCGCTGGGTGTCGGATACCCCCTCATGGAATCTTTAGCAAGGCGAATTCCATGCGTCACTTCCAGTGACCTTACTCGTTGTAGCACTTTCTTTAATTCATCCACTAATGAAGACTGAGGAGACAAGCCTGTCTTCAGGAGCCTATTTCTCGTCCTCAATCGGTCGGTAGTTAGGTTTACTAAAGTCAAACTAGTCCTCACGGCATACTCTGCCCACTGCTCTCGGTATGGTAACTAAGTACGGCGTAAATAAACACCTGCTCCTGTACTACGACTTTCTACGGCGGCTAGGAATCTACGAAACGATATCTCACTACCATGTTGCGCATCCATCGAAAGAGGCGCTGATTTTCGAAAGTTAGCATACCAGATAGCTGGTTACATTTCCTCTGCATATCCTTAACGAGATGGAATCGACAAACTATCACATTAGATGACCGAAAGTATTCTGAAAACGTGGTGTACTGAGCCAAGCTACGATCAACTACTATAGTCTTGCATTGTGCAAAGACTGGGCACGTAGCGTTCATGTTTCCCACAGCAGATCCATAGCTCTCACCGCTCTCATCCGGTAAGATAGTGTAGAAGAAGCTTCTACCTAAGCCGATGTCGTCTACAAGCATAGCATGCCAAAGCACGTACCCGCCACAATTTATTTGATGTGTGGCGTCCGCTAACAAAACATCAATAAACCTGGCGATGCAGTGCAGCATAATCCTAGGAACAAAATAAATGTGACGAATGACGCCTTCGTTCAGCCCTATTCTGACCTTTACCCGATTCTCCAGCATATCCCTAACTTTCACCGCGTCGCCGTGTGAATCCTTCTGAGACCTCCTTCGACGTATGGATCTTATATCTGCTGTAGTTAAGGGTCTCTGGAACCTGTGTGTGGCGAAATCCCTTAGCCCGCGAGTAATCCTAAAATTGTCCAATAAAGTACACACTTCCTCTTCCTGTTCTCCAGATAGACGATGATTACTTATA